GGAAACCGGAGCACCCTTAGGAAACCCATACAAACACGGAGAGAACATGCAAACTTCACACAGAAACGGCAACTGACCCAGCCTAGGCATGAACCAGCAACCTTCTTGCTGTAAGGCGAACGTGCTACCCACTGCGCCACCACATATAATGCATAATAATAATGCAGTATATAAAAAGAGAAATAAATCTGTGTCATGCACGACCAACCCAGACAATATATTTGTCAATAAGTCGCATATTTATTTGATATCATTATTTTCAGCATTAAATATTATATGTTCCAAACATTCAAAGTGTTATTAACCAGAAAACTATCATGACTTATACCAACTTTACCATTAACATGTTATTAATGCTAATGCTAATATAATAGCATGAAGCATTAATAAGAAAATTTTTTCAATGTAATTATTGAGTTTGCTTCTCATTTCATGACTAATGATGGCTGTAGTGAAACTGACATTTTGACACTATCGAAATCCCAAAGTGCAAGTGTTTCGAAACACTGCACCGAACCCTGATCCAAAAACACCCGGGTCATGTGACTAAAGTGTTTTGAAACATCGGTCATTTCAGAAGCGTTTCGAGACCTGGCAAATCTGTGTTTTATTGACAGGGTCGGAAAAAACTTATGTAGCCTAGTGGACTGTGCATGTCCTCAGAGTAACTGTGCTGCAAATGTCCTAAGTTCGAATCCCGACTTGTACAAATACTCCTAAATTCTGACTTTTTATTCATTTCAATAATGGTAATTTTTTTAATGACCAAAACAAGACAAATTTATTCACAAAGTTTTCCTTCGGATGCCAGATCAATGTTAAAACAAAACATGTCATGAGTACAGAGCATTTAAAAACTAGTGTCTATAACTGCATCCCCCTGGATTCGCACCATTTATCTCTGCATGTAAATCAGTAATTCTCACCGATCCACTAAATCACTTGTAACCGCAATTCTACAATACGGAGTAAAAATGTATTTGTGCTCAATTTGCTTAAATTTTTCTGAAGCTGTTCTAGAGCAATATATAAAAATGACCACTAGTTGTCACTGCAGAAACTGGTTTCGAAACGTTTCGAAGCTTTAACACATTTGCTTCGACTGTTTCTGTTTCATGAAGCTTCGCTCTGCCCACCGCTACTCATGACCTTCTTTTTAAGAGTGCACTTGCTAAAAAGGAAGCGTGCTAGGCTTTGAAACAGAGCAGACATGTTTGTATAAGTACTTCAAAACACCCACACATGCTCATCACACAAAAACTTGTATTTAAATACCACTATCACAACAAAGTCACACTAATGACTCACATTGTCCCTTTTGTACATTCAAGCACACCCAAACTAGTGGTTCAAAGCCCCGAAAGCATCCTTAAACTGAGATGTAGCATAATTTGCAGGAAAGACTTGTCATGTAAAGAGCGATGATGTTATTCTGACCTTGTCTCTCAGCTAACCACTGTCTACAAGAGTTTGTGTGTGAACACTAGCGTCTGTGACACTAACTGGGCATTATAATTAGCTCTCATTTTCTGGAAACAATACAAGGCTTCAGTGCAAGCCAATTCAAGGAATCCCTTCAACATTTCTGGAGCAGCCAGATCCAGGCTAGGCGACTGGACAAGGCACCGTTTGGTCTAGTAAATGTGGTTTGGAGATGAATGTGTGTGTTTGTGTAGCTAATGTTGGTTTAGGTTTCGCCAAAACCTGACACAGCAAACTCCATCATTTCAATTATCGTCATATTAAATAGCAGTATAGGGAAAATTACGTCAATCAGAAATTATTCTGCCGCAAGGCCAATTCACACCACGCCAGCAGACCAATGGCAACAGACTCACCAATTAGCCTCTGCAGCCTGGTCAGTACCTGAGATTGTTGAGTACCTGGATGGAAAACTTCCTGGGAGTGCTAGATTGCTGTTGGAAGTGATGTTAGTGAAACCAGCAGACTATGTGGCTTCTAATACCCCAGTATAGTGATGGGAACATGATTAGAAATTAAACTGAGGTCCTGATACTCTGTGGTGGTTAAACATCCTATGACACTTATCGTAAAACAATGCTCACCTACCCTGTTCCTGGAGATCTGCCTTCCTTCCTGGAGATTTCCGTTGCAACACTGCTCAAACACACCTGCCTGTAATTACTAAATAAGAGCTGATTCAGGTCCTAATTGATTGGTTCAGGTGTGTTTGATAAGGGTTGGGCTGAACTCTGCAGGAAGGAAGGCAGATCTCCAGGAACAGGGTTGAGGACATTGAGGAGTATGGGTGTAACCATGGTGCAAAGTGGAGTGTTGTGTGGTTGAAAATGCTTGATTCTAATAATGCTTTAAGTTTTGTTACAGTTACACCTAGTGGTGGGCAGAGCAAGGGTTCATGAAACAATGAAACAGTCGAAGCAAATGTGTCGAAGCTTTGAAACGTTTCGAAAGTCATCTATACAGTGACAACTAGTGGTCATTTTTATGTATTGCTCTAGAACAGCTTCAGCAAAGAAACATTTGCACAAACTAAGGATTTATACTCCACATTGTAGAATTGAAGTTTCAGATGATTTAGTGGAGCGGTGAGAGTTCCTGAGTCCCGATTAGCATGCAGAGGTAATGTGTTCGAATCCAGGTGCATTTATAGACATTAGTTTTTAAATGCTCTGTTCTGTTTTGTTTTAACATTGGTCTGACATCTGAAGGAACACTTTGTGAATAAATATGTCTTGTTTTGGTCATTAAAAAATTAACAATAATAAAAAAGTCAGAATTTAAGAGTATTTGTACAAATGGGAATTCAAGCTCAAGAAATTTGCAGCACAGTTACACCGAGAACATGCACAGTCCACTAGGCTACATGAGAGTTTTTTTGACCCTGTCAATCAAACACAGATTTGCCAGGTCTCGAAACGCTTCTGAAATGACCGATCGCTGACCGTTTTGAATTGCTTTAGTCATGTGACCTGGTATTTTGAAACACTTTGGTCGCATAACCTGGGTGTTTTGAATCACCTTAGTCAGATGAGCTGGGTGTTTCGAAACACTTGTGCTTCAGGATCTCGACACTGTGTCAAAACGTGTTTCACGTCAGCCATTCTATTTTTTTTTTTTTTTTAAATGCTAGATTCTTTATTTGTTTGGAAATGCTGGTGTTAGGTTTCAATATAGATGGGCTGAAATACAGACTTTGAAAATGGAGGAGCTATCCACAATCTCTCTCTGACTGGTCTTCTGGGCTATAGCTTATTGTTCCATAACTCATCAAACCCCTTTTAATATGACCATTACACAACAGGTAGAATCTAAGGCCCGTTTACACTAGTGCGTTTTAGTTTTTTAATGGCATTTTAGAATGAGAACCGCGTCCACACTAGCGTTTCTGAACAGCTCTCCGTCCACACCAAAACGACTGAAACGCACATCACGTGACCACACACACTCTCTGGCATGCGCTGCAGCCTATCTATCCAGATGAGAGCATGCTCATCAAGCTGGATCTAATCTCACTATATTTGTTAAACGTAATATTTCATTCATCTTTTTGTCTTTAGCTAACAACATATTCCCCGACTTTGGTCTTTTGAATCTATTACTTGTTCTCAGGTAACGTGTTTTGGCTGATCGCAGAGATAAATTAATAATTAATCTAACCACGTACATTCTGTATAGTGACTGATCGCCTTTATGTCCTATAATGTATAAACTTATTGTACGGTATACTTTTATAATGGCCATTATTGATTATTAAAACTGATATTCAGCAAAAGAGAGGGTATGTTTCGAATTTTCACTGAAATTAAAAGAAGGCAGTTGTTATAGCCAGTTGTTTAGGCAGGTGAGAACATTAAAAAGCATTGGATGCAGCCTAGATTGCACTGCACCAGGTCTGCATTCAGACCCCTCTCGATTTCAACTAAGTTTTGTAGGAGGCGGAACACCAGGTTTCAGAGAGCATATGATTGGGCAGAAAATCTGATGACAAGCTGAAGTGTGCAGTGAAGTCACTAAAATCGTTGATCCAAATTGGTGAATTGACTAGAATTAGTTCGGTTCTTAATTTGTGTTTACTACGATTATAACTGTAGTCAGATTAAGGTAATCAAAAATGTCTGTTTACAATGTAGACGAGACTATTGTCTTAATTCACAGGTGTCAAACTCCTAATTGCAAACTAATTGAGACCTCTAGGTCTGCACTTTTCTCCTCATAGACTTCCATTCATACGCACATGAATGCGTCAGACCAGAAACGCAAGATCATGCGACAAGTTTCTCAGTTCATTGAGTTGCAAAGTTCATGCTTGGTGAACTCTGACCAGCGAAATTACATCAAGTGTTTGTATGCGACCTCTCTGGACAGATATTTAAAATATGGACTAATCACTTGCTTTTTTAAATGTCTTACCTTGTTTAGTCCCAACCCTTTTTTGCAGCACCGTACGACAGAATTTTGCAGGCTCAAACTTCAGTGTAACTGCGATATTATTTGAAACCTACAGGTGTGTGTTGAAGTAGGGTTGGAACTAAACAGTGCAGGGCTACAGCGCTCTGAACTGTGTTTGACACCTGTCTTAATCGTTTTAAAATCAGGGTATTGGTATCCATGTAAATGTACTGATTGAGGTTGAATTCATCTCCGTAACAACTTGAAATTTACTCACTTTCGAGTGGTTTCAAACCTCTATTACCTTATTGTTTTGTTATTTAACACTAAAGTAGATATGTTAAAGAACGGTGGAAACCAGGGATCCACTAATATCCATAATAAGAAAAAATACTATGAAAGACAATATCAACTGGCTTCTAAAATAAAACTAAAACAGGTTTGGATAAAACGTAGAGTGAGAAAATGAAGAGAGAATTATCATTTTGATCTGAACTAGCCCTTTAAATAGATAAAATCTTCTTCATGTGGTTTATTTTGGTTAGAAGAAGAAATCCAGACCAGCCACAGATAAGATTTATCACGATACACCAAGTAAGGAAACAACATCATGAACACACACAACCTCATCTTTGAGAAACAAACACAATAAAATGTATTCGCTTTATTAGTATAAGAGTTACTGTAGATTGAGTTTTGCTGCATTCGTCCATTCTACGGCATATATACAAGAGACGATCAGTGTCGATAGAAAACGGACAGTTACAAAAATAATATGATACAGTTATTTGCTGGAGAAATATACATTTCGATAGATAAAGTCATGATTGATTCTCCTTTAAAAGGCGGTGGAGACAGAAGTCTGAGTTCGTTTTTCAGGCTGTCGTTGCAGTCTATTGTGTAATCCCTCTGGGTTTTTATCCAAACCCACAAGTTTGGGTTCCTTTTAAAGGTGCATGAAAAGTCCAGAGTGATCCAAGAGCTGCGCCCTGATTGGCTCGCTGTTGAAGAGTGTCTTCAGATTTTATCAGTCAATGGCTGTGGTTCAGCCTGATATCTGATGCCCTCCTCTGCCTTTTTTTTATCTGGTGCCACGCTCACCTTATATCTGCTGCAGAGGGGAGAAAAAGACACTGTTAGACTTTGACTGTACACCTGCTAAGAACTGCAAGAAGTAAAAAATAATTGATAATTATAACAATGGAAGTCTTTGGAGGAACTTGTGTAAACTGGCCAAAAAATTGAGTTTCTTTTGTAATTTGATTCTTCTTGATTTTTCTTACTGACTGAATATCAAATGCTTACAAGTATTTCAATGTTTTAATATTATTAAATGTTTTATTATTTATTTAAAAATGTATTATTATTATTATTATTATTATTATTATTATTATTATTATTATTATTATTATTAATGCTGTTGTAATAATAAATTAATTTAAAATAAATAATAAAACATTTAATTTGTATTATTATTTTATTCATATTTATTTGTTTTTTATTATGTTTCATACATTTAATGAAGTTTTATTATTTATTTTAAATTAATTTATTATTACTTTTATTTAATATTATTGTTGTCGTTATTGTTGTTATTATTATTATTATTATTAAATTGTTTTCAATTTTTATTAATTTATATATGTGTTTATTTTATTTTTGTGATAAATTTACAAAAACTAATAATACATAATAATTTTGATAATAATAATAATAATAATAATAATAGTAATAATAATAACAATAATAATAATTATTATTATTATTATTATTATTATTAATTTAAAATAAATAATAAAACATTTAATAAGACATTTTATAATTTTTTATTATTGTTTATTTATTATCATTATTGTTATGTTTTAATGTGTTTATACATTTAATGAAATGTTTTATTGTTTATTTCAAATTAATTGATTATTATTATTATTATTATTATTATTATTATTGTTATTATTATTTAATTGTTTTCAATTTCTATTCATTTATATATGTGTTTATTTGTTTTTTTCTGAGAAAGGAAACAAAATCTTATTAATTAAAAATATTATCTTATAAAAACTATAAATCAAGAAATTAGTAATTGGTATTAATAATAATATTATTATTAAAGATAATCTAAAATATTACAAATTTAAAATCTTGAGGACTACATTGCATTGATCTTAAAAAATGTAAACATAATAACTTTTAAAATACAATAATCATTATTTATTGCACATAATTTCTTTGTCATTTTTTGCTTGCTCAAGTAATTACAATAAATGTGTTACATTTCATGTAAAATATGATTAAATATTTTATTACAATGACACACAAATTCTGAAATAACTGCCATTTTTATTTTCTTTTTTTATTATACAGCACAATCTCTTTTTTAAAACATTCAATAGCTACAGTAAATATTATTGACATTGTAGCAAACTTTCATCCAATTTTGCATCATGATACTCCTACTACCATCTGCTGACCCATTTAGCTTTAATCTGACCAACCATGACTAAAAATACCGTCTTTACAGCCACTTTTGGATAGTTTATCTCATTTTCCATTTCCTCCCCTTCTTTTTTTAGCTCACAAACCAGGCTGGCCCTTTGAAACGCAGACCAAAAGGAAACGACAAAGCAAAAAAACAGAGGGCGGAGAGGAAAAACCAAAGCAGGCGAATGATGATGGAGCCGGTGTACCTGTGTGTATGCGGGACTCTGAGTGATGTCTGGACGTGCAAACACACTCCAGATGATCCTCCAGCTGCACCTGCACCTCCCGCAGCTTCGGCCTCCGTCGAACATACTCTACCTTTGCCACCTGAGAGACAGAGAAAGAAAGCCAATGAGGGACGTCCTGAGGCTACATTTACACTACTGCTAAGTGTTGAGACTTTTATTTTTTCACAAACAAATATTTTAGTTCGAAAACTTCAGGGGTGCATTACAGCATACATTGAACAAAATGTAAACTCTATGAAACACTGCAGATCCAGTTTAGTTAGAAAACTCTAGAAATTGCTGGGTTCCACACAAATGATTTTATGCTTTTATTTATTTAATAACTTTATAGACAATATTGTAGTATAGTTAAATAGCCAGCAGGCACCTTGATGTCAAAAAAAAGATCAAAAACACATCAAAAATGCAAATTAATTTGATGTCAACTGACTATCTCGATGTAATCCAATTGACATCTAACATTTGCATCAAAAACATGTCTAAAACTTATTACAGGACAGTCCTATTTGTTATGCAAATGTTAGATGTCAAATAAATGTCAAAATCACGTCAAAAATAAATTACAGGAGAGTCCTATTTTTGACATGTTTTTGACGCAAATGTTAGATGTCAATTTGATCTCAAAATGACATCAAAAAAATCGATTACAGGACAGTCCTGTTTTTGATGCAAATGTTAGATGTCAATTTGATCTCAAAATCACATCAAGCATCAATTACAGGAGAGTCCTATTTTTGACGTGTTTTGGTGCAAATATTTGATGTCAATTTGATGTCAAAATCATGTAAAAAATCGATTACATGACAGTCCTATTTTTGACGTGTTTTTGATGGAAATATTAAATGTTAATTTGATGTCAAAATCATGACAAAAAATTTATATGCAAATGTTAGATGTCAAATTAATGTCCAAATCACGTCAAAATTAAATTACAGGATGCTATTAAAATACAGGTGCTATTTTTTACATGGTTTTGACGCAATCATGTCATGCATCAATTACAGGACAGTCCAATTTTTGACGTGCTTTTGACGCAAACGTTAGATGTCAATTTGACGTCAAAAACACATAAAAATCAATTACAGGACAGTCCTATTTTTGAAGTGTTTTTTAAGCAAATATTAGATGTAAATTTGATGTCAGAATCACAACAAAAAAAATTTATTACAAGACAGTCCTGTTTTTGACGTGATTTTGACACAAATGTTAGATGTCAATTTGATGTCAAAATCTCGTCAAAAATAAATTACAGGACAGTCCTATTTAGACGTGTTTTTATTGAAAATGTTAGATGTCAATTTGATGTCAAAAACACATAAAAAATCAATTACAGGACAGTCCTATTTTTGATGCAAATGTTAGATGTCAATTTGATGTCAAAATCACGTCAAGCATCAATTACAGGGCAGTCCTATTTTTGATGTGTTTTTGATGCAAATGTTAGATATCAAATTAATATTATTTTGGCATCAAGTTTAGAAATGTAGGGAAACAAATTCCAGTGTACATTTAGAATTTAGGCTTTCAGATGACTAAAACTGATCTTTTAATACTTTTTGTGCCGTTATCAAAAGGGCATCAATGTCTGGATGTCAAATGGACGTCAAGGTTTTGACATTAAATCGATATGCATTTTGACATGTTTTTTTTTACATCATGCTTGATCTACATTAAGTTGCCCACTGGGTAGTTGAAAAATTTTAATTTCCTGACACATATATTGTTCTGTTTGGAATACAAGCAGAATTTAAAAGACTTGCTGCCAATTTAAGCATGACTGTTTTCCTCCTAATGCATATTGACATATACAGTTGAAGTCAGAATTATTAGAATTATTAATCGAAAAAAAATTTGCTTAAAGGGTCTAATAATTTTGTCCATAAAATGTTGTTCAAAAAATTTAAACTGCTTTTATTTTAGCCGAATTAAAACAAATAAGACTTTCTCTAGATGAAAAAATATTATCAGACAAACTGTGAAAATGTCCTTGCTCTGTTAAACATCATTTGGAAAATATTTAAAAAAGAAAAAAAAATCAAAGGGGGGCTAATAATTCTGACTTCAACTGTATTTACTACAATTGTGTTAATTTTATAATTTTATGTTATAATATTATAGGTATATTTAGCACCTGAAATGCATTTTAGGTTGTGTAGTCGATACTAGACTAAAGATCTTTCCTGAAACAGTGAAAACGTCAAGATTGTTTTTATTTTAAAACGCAAGCGCGCTTGTGTAAATGTAGCATAAATGCACACACTCATAACCCCATCAACAGTGTATTTCTGCTCCAGAGGTGAGATAAGGCTAAACGCGACTCGCTCTGTTTCCTGTAATGCAGATGAGTCGCCTCAAACCCTTTTTTCCAAACACATCATACTGACAGACTCCTTCACTCTCTGCCAACTCAGCTGCCCTGCAGGCCCATTTATACAATACTTGATTCAGGTCTGAACACTCACACTCATAGCTGGTGAGATAAACGCAATCGAGCGCAGCCCGCGGCCGACAGATATTTGCAGCGGTTAACTCAAGGTTAGGGCTGTTCGTTAACTAGCAGAGGAAGTCTGACACTGTGTTCAGCGGCCTTGAAAGTCTCGCTGATATTGTCCTCCTTTTTGGCACGTTTCACGGTTTGCTCTTGTTACGTTTAAATCTGAGAAATGCGAAAAGCTTCACGTGCTGAAAGTAAGCCTGGAAAGTGGCAGACGAGTGATTTATATCAGTGTGTTTACAGTGTAAAAGTGATTAGAGGAGGAGAAAGTAGGTGAAAAGTCATCATTGTTTTATTTCGGTTTCATGTTTGTCTTGATTATTTTAGTTACAGTTACAATAAAGAAGAACAAATCAGACCATTTTTGGTCTTAGAATGATTTGATAATTAAGTTATTTTTCATAATAAAGAGATATTTTAAAATCCCACTGAAAGTCTCATGAATCACTATGATTTATATTTTATATGATTTATAGTTATTTTTCATAATAAAGAGATATTTTAAAATCCCACTGAAAGTCTCATGAATCACTATGATTTATATTTTATTTTATAAAATATTAAAAAGTATTTTAAATAAATAGTTATAGAAATAATAATCTAAATAATAATGTTTTACTAATTATATTAAAAATATGACCATAATAAATATACTATAAATAAATAAACAATAAATAATGCCATTTATGTACACATAGACATACATATATACACACAAACATATATGTATAAAAAATCATATATTATCATATATCAATATTATCAAAAAGTCATATATTGTATATGTTATATACTTTTTACATACACACATATATGCAATAAATTCGATTTAAAAATATCAAACATGTATAAATATAAAATCAATAAAAGTTTTTATTTTTATGTTTTATAATATCATGCAATATTCTTATTATTTAAAAAATAATAATAATTACAAAATATTAATTTATTAAATTAAATTTGTAAATCATTTCATTCTAATGCTACATTTTAAAATACACAAATTATGTGTACGACAAAAAATGTCAGAATTATTAGCCCCCCTTTGATTTTATTATTATTATTTTTTTTAAATATTTCACAATTTTTTTTTACCAAGTTTAACATGGCAAGGAAACTTTCACAGTAAGTCTGATAATATTTTTTCTTCTGGAGAAAGTCCAGAAATCCATTTGTTTTATTTTGACTAGAATAAAAGCAGTTATCATTTTTTTCAACAACATATAATGTACAAAATTATTTGCCCCTTTAAGCTATATATATTTTCGATAATCTACAGAACAAACCATCATTATACAATAACTTGCCTAATTACCCTAACCTGCCTAGTTAACCTGATTAACCTAGTTAAGCCTTTAAATGTCACTTTAAACTGTATAGAAGTGTCTTGAAAAATATCTAGTCAAATATTATTTACTGTCATCATGGCAAAGATAAAATAAATCAGTTGTAAGAAATGAGTTTTTAAAACTATTATGTTTAAAAATGTGTTGAAAAAATACTTTCTCTGTTAAACAGAAATTGGGGAAAAAAATAAACAGGGGGTCTAATAATTCAGGGGGTCTAATAATTCAGGGGGGCTAATATTTCTGACTTCAACCATATATGAATAAATGGGCTCAGCCGAAGGAAAATGAATAAATGTATTTACGAGTATATTCAAATAAACAATGCTTTTTCATAATTTGAATGAATAGAATTATTTTGAATAATGTCAACATTAAATTACACACTTGTATGGAGAAAGTAAGATGTGTATGTGTATATTTTCACCTTCACGTTCCTGTGGTGTTTTTTGGACGGGTGGCAGCGCATGTTGCTGGTGTTGCAGCAGCCTGAGCATCGCCTCACCTCCACACACGGAGGCCAGATCAGGAAGTTGGCGGCTGTTGGATCCACCTGACTTCGTGGGATCTCATAGATCACCGTACGGGTCTTACAGACGGCTGGCACTGCCTCCTCTAAACACACACAACAGCTTGTAAACACACAAACCACAGGGTGTTGGTAATCTCTGTGTGACTACTCTATTGGGCTTTTCACACTGGACTTTTAACCCCGGGTTATTGTCATTCGAACCACTGCTTTTTACCCTGAGACCCTTTCACACCTGTAATTTGTTTTTTAAGTACTGCATTTTGCCCAGGGTTACGAAACTCTGCTCTGGAACAAGGTTAGCCCATTTGTGGAGTTAAACCTACATGCATACATTTGTTTAGTGTTTTTTTTCACACTGGACTTTTAACCCTGGGTAATCCTCGTTGAGATACGTTTTACACCTGTAATTTGAAGGTGGTGTTAGTACTGCATTTTACCCAGGGTTATGAAACCCTGCACCAGAACAAGGTTAGCCCATTTACAGAAGTAAACCTGCATTGCGGTGCTACGATTGTTCAGTTTTTTCACACAGGGCTTTTAACCCCGGGTCATCGTCATTCTAAACATAGTTTTTAGCCCCGAGACACATTTTACACCTGTAATTTGAAAGTAGTGTTAGTACCGCATTTTACTCAGGGTTATAAAACCCTGCTCCAGAACAAGATTAGCCCATTTGCAGAGATAAACCTACGTTGCAATGCTACATTTGTTTATTGTTTGTTCACACTGGGCTTTTAACCCCGGTTTATTGTCGTTCTAAACACTGCTTTTAATCACGAGAAACATTTCACACCTGTAATTTAAAAGTGTTGTTAGTACCGCATTTTACCCAGGGTTATAAAACCCTGCTCCAGAACAATGTTTGCCCATATGACGAGTTAAACTTACATTGTAGTGCTACGTTTGGTTAGTTTTTTCACACTGGATGTTTAACCCCGGGTTATCGTCATTCTAAACACTGCATTTTAACCTTGAGAAATTTGAGAGTGGTGTCAGTACCACATTTTACCCGGGGTTATGAAACCCTGGTCCAGAACAATGTTAGCCTATTTGCAGAATTAAACCAGCATTGCGGTGCTTTATTTGTTAAGTTTGTTCACACAATGTTTAATATCGAATTATCATCGTTCTAAACGCTGTTTTTAACCCTAAGACACGTTTCACACCAGTAATTTGAAAGTTCTGTTAGTACCACATTTTACCCAGGGTTATAAAACCCTGCTCCAAAACAAGGTTAACCCATTTGCAGAGTTAAATCTGCATTTCGCTTCCATGTTTTGTCAGTGTGTTCACACTGGACTTTAACCCCGGTTCATCGTCGTTCTAAACACTGCTTTTACCCCCAAGACACAATTTACACCTGTAATTTGAAAGTGGTGTTAGTACTGCATTTTACCCAGGGTTAGGAGACCCTGCTCCAGAATGGGGATAGCCCATTTGTGAAGTTATCCTAGCATTGCGGCGCTACTGTACGTTTGTTCAGTATGAAACAGAGTGATGATTATTTATTGCTACTGGACGCTTGGAAACAGACAGCCAATCTGAAACTGAGCCAATCGTATAAAGTCAATAAAAAAACCCAAATCATGTAAACAACAGCCGGTGAGAAAAAATTAAGAAATATATCGAGAAGGAAAGCGTTTGGATTGATCAAGAGATGGTGAGAGGACTTACTTTGTTTCTTGTTTTCATTTAATTGTTATTTTGTCTTTGTTTTCTTGCATTTACACATTTTGTAAGGCTTAAAACAGGCTTAAAGACCTATGTGGCAACATTTTTTTATCGTTAATTGACAAGAAGATGTGGAAATGCTATGTAAAAAGGCTTCCTGCAGTTCCAATCAGCCAACCAAAGGTTGCCTGCTGTTCAAATCGTCCAATCAGTAACAGTGATACTGCAAATGTGAACATTAACTCTGGGTTTAGGAATGTACAGTGTGAACGTCTCTTAATAAATACCCAGGATTATTCATTAACCAAAGGTATAGTATGAAACGTGATTACCGATAACCATACCTGCCAACATTTGTCTATAAAAGTCTGGGAGACTGGGAGATGTGTGGAGTTGGTAGGTCGCTTGAGTAGCAAAGTTGACAACGTGGAGTGCAGTGTTTGGGGTTAATTAGTAACAGTACCATGGACTGGGTTTTGGGCGACGATCAGATACTGTACCTAAACTGACGAATGGGGGAAGGATGGTGGGGTGTTGGAGACTGTACCAAAGTGATGATGATGGCCAGGGGGGTTTGGGGGGAGTGGGGGAGTGTAATTATGGGAGTTTTCCAGGAGAATTAACAAAATGGGAGGGTGCCAGGAGATAGATGTGAAATATGGGGGAGACTGCTGGGAAAAACAGGAGTGTTGGCAGGTATGCAGATACCCAGGATTCAGTTTATCCAAGGTTTAGGATCATCCAGGGTTAACAATTTCAAGTGTGAAAAGCCCTTTTTGAGTGCGTCTTTACCAATGCTTCTCTTGCGTCTGGAGTGCAAGTTCTTGAGGTTTCTGCTGTCGTACAGATGCTCCTTATGGTGGCCTTGTTTAACATCCTCCAGCACTTCATTCTCTGCAGCAGAAAGAGGTCAATGAAGCACAAAGTCAACAGCGTTTAAGCGACATATTTTGCCTTGTAAGACAAGCCCACAATCCCTCCCACTCTATTGTCAATCAAAAGTTCCATTGAGCCTAATGAAAAAAAAAAAAATCAAGAAAAGCCGGTCTGATTACTAAGCAAAACAATAAAGGTGCCAGCCAACCCTCTAGCACACTTCATACGGGGAAAAAAACTTTTTACACGCACATCACAAAGCAAATATATACACCGCCCAAGGACATGCAGAGAAAATCTCAACAATGAGATGTTCACAAAGCACTGTGGCCTTCAAAACGCTCGGGTTAGTTAGTCTGACCAAAGTGTGCAGCGTTCAATCATGCTGTTCGGCAGATCCGCAGAGCCATTCAGCCATACAGCAGGACAAGAGATGCCCCTGTTGTTGCCCCCGGAAACCATCCCAATGGAGGAGGAGGGTGGTTTTAATTCAGGCTTGAGCAGCGTGGCCGACCGACCCGCTCGGCTTTTCACACAGTCGTTAGCGGAGCAACAGACCTCACAAACGCAAACACTACTCCAGCTCCGGCCTCTTTTCTTTCCCCAAACACACTCGCACGCAGAGACGCACACAAACTGAGGAATTCGACATGAATAATACATTACAGCAGCGCTGGCATTCAGCCGCACTCAACTCATAAAGGCAGCATGACAACAGTATAATGGAGAGAGTCTCTTGACCTCCCTCAGGCACCAGCCACACAGACGCAGCTGTTTGCATTTCAATTACAGAGCTTATGGGCCAAATCAAATTCGAGACTCGTTGCATTTCCTCATTAGATGCGCTGGAAGTTTCAATTTGAGGCATTGAGGATGTTTGAACCTGTTCGGATGGGCCTTTGAAACTTCGGGCGAGAACACGATAACCATAAGCGACAACATTTAGATTTGACCCAAGCAAAATCATACCAAGATTTCTTTTAAATTATAAATATTTTCAAAAATAACTAACAACTCAGATAATCAAACAAGTGAGTGTCGATTTTAAAATATGCGCATTTTTGCATCCCACAAAAACAGCAGCATCTTTCTAGGGTTGGTTATTGCACCCAGCTTTGTGATTAAATTTGAATATTATTTATATGATTGCATTGGTTTTATGGATTTTATAGTTTTTAGCCTGTGGTTTTGTTGACATCAACCTAACCAGTGTTGGGGAAATTTACTTTATGAAAGTAAAGCATTACAATACTTAGTTACTCCCCAAAGAGTAACTAGTTGCATTACTTAGATACATTTTAGGTGTGTAATGCATTACGTTACTTTTGAGTTACTTTTTCTGACCAGGCTTGATCTCTTTCAGAATTTGCAGTTTTTGAAATAGATGAGTTAACAACACACTGTATAACCTTCATTTACCTTTAACAAAACAATAAAAAAGTGAATGTTAGATAATGTTATCTTTGGAGAATTTCCTGATCCCTGAGTTATACATGCCGAATATACAGATTAATGAAAGTTTAAAGCAATGTGTTTGTAAAAGTTGTAAAAGTAAAGTCAGTGTCCATTCAGATAATCTGTTTTTCCTTTTCTTCGGTGCGCTCAAAATAATGAGAATATTTCCAGCGCAAAATGTGAAGCTCTGTCATCTTCGTTTCTGTCTGTTCCTGGATTCTCTTACTGTGTGACAAGGTAACAACGTTCATTTTAATTCAGTATTTTTTTTTAAGGCAAATAAACTAAACTAAAAATTAACTCACATTTCATTTTTTTAAAAAGTAACTAAAATATTTTTACTTAATTTGTTTAAGTAATGTGTTAAGTAATGTGTTGCTTTGCTTGTAACTTAGAAAAGTAATATTATTATTTAACTTGCATTACTTGTAATGCATTACGCCCAACACTGATCCTAACCCCCATTGCCTTTCAACATTAACAACTTTCACACATCAGACTTTTATTTCATTAATTGTGATTAGTTTCGACCAAATTTTTTAAACGTTTTTTTAATCCCGCTAATTTAATCTAGCAGAAATATTTGGTACTGCACGCACAAAATATTACTGAAAGCCTGTATTGTGAGATATCAACCTAGCAATTAAATAAAAGTTAAAATCTGCATGACCCGGAAGACTTTCATTTCAGTATGTTGATGCACTTTCAACTGCAACAAAATATTGAGTAGAGGGCGGGGCTTTCTTATTGCACATCATTCCCTCACAGCAAACTAATGGTAAGAAGGGTGTGGTTAGGAATTTTGTGGCTGAAGTGTCAAACTGTTGCAACTGAAATGACCAAGACTCCAAACACTGAAGCAAATGCTCAGACTTTGATTGAAGATTACCAAAACAAACATTTTTTTTACAGAGGAACTTTTTTCGAAATAATTGTTCTGCAAAAGGATTACAGTGAGTATGTTTACATGGACAGCAATGATCTGATTTTAATACAATTTTCTGATTAAGAGTCTAGAATGTAAAGTGATTTTCGATTAATTTAATTTGATTAATGTCATAATCGAACTAAACTGAAATCAGATTAAAACATGTAGAGTATGCCGATTTTAGTGGCATTATTGAAGTGCAGTACAGACATGCAAACACGTTATTCAAACTAATATTGCTGACATATAATATGATATTATTATCGTGTTGGATTTTGCCACATTTTGTGACAGGATAGTCTATTCTCAGCACCTACTGAGTCAGTGAAGGACCACAGACACCTGCATCGCAAAATGCAAAGCGTTTTTTCCCCATATGGTGTGTGTATCACATTCAATTAAAAAACAACACTCTTCCAGCAGTTCATACTCGAATCCAATATCTCATTTGTCACTGGAGCATGCATGAAATGTTCCCAAATGAAAGCGAAATTTCCAAACTCCAGTTAAAGTGGACAAATTAAAAATGAAACATGAAATTACATGAAGGAATTTCTCTAAAGGAAATGTGAATAGCGCGATGAAGAAAAGATGTTAATTGAATTGTGTGCTATAACGTGTAAAACGGGATCATAAAAGGAACATTCAAAAAGCAGCTCATGTAAAAACCTTAATCAAATTATTCTCTTTTTCAGATTAAGGCAAATAATTAGATTACTGATGTCCATGTAAAAGTAGTCACTGTGAGCTAGCAAAATCAACATTTTGTCTTCATATGGACTTCATGGCTAATCTTATGAATAATTTATAAATAAAAGTAACTATTTAACAAGTAGTCTTGCCTGTAGATAGATAAAATGATGGCAGTAAAAAAAACTAAAACCTGTGAACAATAAAGCAAAATATATAAAAAGACTACATGCAATGCTGTGTGCACATATTGTTATGACATCATCACTACCACAAAGATTTTAAAAAGCCAGAGTTCTTGAGTCAAACTAAAACTTTTAAACTACACAAAACAGAATTCGAGTTACTGTTTGCGCAATGCAAAGATCTAGTTTACTGTGACTTCAGGTGTTTAGGAAAACGCAAAATGCTGCAGCCACCAAAATGTGACATCATTTACCAAGTTCAAATACTCCAGCGATGCATGCCATGCGGCGCCACAAATGCAGGAACAGAGCTGTGGTTACTAGGCAACAGGTGCTGAGGCATTCGGTTTAAACTCGATTGAATGTTGAGGTCCATGAACTTTGAATGCGGGGAAAGATTGAGTGAGTCTCCTCTGAAAGGAAGTTTCCCTCAGTTTTGTTCTCCTAACATTATGCTGCAACACTTTGGCGACTTGACACATTGTGCTAACATTCACTCGTTAACTAATCAAGTCAGTGTTTTGGAACAAATCCTTTCGGCAAACAACCATCTTCGTTCCTATATAATGACTACAACAATTCTCAGATCAAGCACACAAGCCATATCCTTGTGGTAGTCGTAGTTTTTTATTTAGAAACTGTTAGCAATTGGTTAGCAAAAACTATAGCATGTTTCCACAAAATAGCTGAGTGTCAATAAGTCATTCGTAATGCAAACTTGTCACCAGGCACCATATTAAGTAAACAATTACATCTGAACAACTCTTTTTTTTGTTTTCTTTTTAAACGAATTTAAGATTAAAATCACTGATTAAAATCATCACAAGCTACCATTTCCCACTGTAAAACCCAACAGTCAACTTCATCAAATGAAATGAGTGTAGTTAACTCAAAATTGACTGAAAGTTTTTGAACTCAGTGTTGTAGGTATTGGGTTAATTAAATACAGTACCTCATTACATTAACTTTAATGGTTTGCAGCAATCGTTTTTCTAAAACGGTTTGAGTTGCCATAACTTATTGGGTTTCACAGTAGTCAGTTGGTTTGAGTTCTCTTCATCTATTAGGTTTTACTGTGCTCAAATTGCTTCATTTACTCAAATGGATTAAGTTCACAGTACTTATTAAGATTAGTTTTTGAACTTAAATGGTTTGTTGCAATTGGTATTCTCAAACGGTTTGAGTTACCTTAACTCTTTGGGTATTACAGTGTAGTAAGCTCAGAATTATCAAACTCAAGTTAATTTACTCAGGTCTTGTCAAATAATAAGAAAACCAGTAAGACTTTACCTAGGAAGTCCATTTCCAGGATCCTCTGGAGGTCGCTGATGCTGTGGATCTCACTGTTAGAGAGTCTCTCAATCAGCTCTCGGGGAATTGGTGCTTCCTGTTAAAGACAAAAAAATGGGGATTGTTTATTTGTAGCTTTGCCCTTTGGCATATGTTTGTTTTAAACATATTTTTAGCTTGTTTTAAGTCAGTTTGTGTAAAGCATGTAAAAAATGATTTCCACAAATCAGAATGAACCCTTTTAGATCCTTGTGTTTGTCAGACACTTGATTTAACAATATTTAAGTTTTTAATTTTTTAGAAAGTGAACTTTTATATGGACCAAAATTAATTAAAAAATATATTAGGTCTATATCAGAACCATGCTGAAATCTTTGAATATAAGTGCACGTGTATGGAAGTCTAAGGAATGTAAGTGTAATACTTTATTGGCTATTTGATGGTTACACCACTTGACATTTTGCAGGTTAAAAATCAAAATGTATAGACTTTTTTTTTTTTTTCAATTGTTTTCATTTGTAACATGAGTAGCACTCTAGAACTTGCCTCGTGTTCATAAAGCAGATTTTAGGGAACGTTTTTAATCAATATTAGATACTTTCTTTAGCCTATAGGTACAATAAGAATGGCTGTTACTTTGACAATGAAATGTCTAATGAAACCTCTCTCTTTAGTGAGTACACATCCTCTTCTCCAGAACTGCACATGCGTTCGTAGGTCTTACCTCAGCGGCTGCTGAAAGCAGAGAGAAGCAGCAGACGAGAAAGTGGATCAGCGCGGTTCTCATCTCCCCTGTGGTCCAAAAGTGTCCCAGCGCAGGCGAAACCGTCCCGACCGGAGCCGCAGAGATGCTCCAACCGGCGGGGAGCCGGGGAACATGCCTTTCTACAGACAAATCTCCCAAAGGATAAACTCTTCACAAGTCAAACAGAAAAGCAAGTCCTAAAATCGACTCTAATTACTTCTTGTCGCTTTTAATCCATTAAAATATCATCCTTTTATAGCATCTTTTCAGAAATGTGTTTGAATAATACAAAATCTAAATCCAAAAATGTTCCTAGACGAAAAAACGAGTTAGTATAATCAAAGAGTCCACGTTTATCCAGAATAGTCCATTTGACGCACCATCCACGTTGTGTCCTCATGAAAGAATGTGTCTGGTGAAGCTTCAGCAGGTCCTGAAGCGCGGAGCGGAGCGTGTCTGACAGTGAATGAACTGCGCTTCTCTCATCTCCTCATCTTAAACTCAGCGCCCCCTCAGGACGAGCTCATCTAACCAGCAGCCTTTCAACTCGCCGCGCCACGGATTACTGAAGTGCTGTGGATTTGAAATCACCTCAGAGACTCGATTCGTTTTAGTCCGTTTCAAAAACAAAGATTCACTGAGATTTGCTTAGTTAACCAAGTCAGTAGGTGACAACGCGCGCGCTTTTAGTCACTAATTCGAAAATTCATTAAATGCACATTACAATCCACTTAAAAGTTGCTTTCTCAGAAATGAAACAACAGAAACTGGATGTTTTAATTATTTGTAAAAATATTAAGAAAAAAGTTGACTAATAAGATTTGACGAGGACATTTCATATATTGTTCTACTCAGGAGGCGAGTTAGCAAGGTGTTTTCCTCTAAGCCATTAGAAAGTTAATCGTTGACACATTTCGTTGAGATTTAGACGGTGTTTACATTAGTCATGTTCTGTCAGGCTAATGTCTAACAGGAAAAATAAGCGAGTTTCAGGGTCTACTGAAGCCAGTGTTCTCCTCTGTTTTAGGTGGCTGAATCCTTAATTAACCCCACTGAGACAGGAAGAGCCACAGACTGACAACTATTGAGGAGAAATGATGGGAAAGAAAGCGGTGAATGGACTGCTCGAAAAAAAAGAGAAGGTGAAGACAGCAGACGACAGGAGGTGAGCACAATGTCCTGGAGCTGAAACAAAAGCAGATAAAATAGAAAGCACAAACACTGCAGGACTCCAAACTGGGTTTTGGTGCAGTTTGGTGAGGTAAAAATGTATAGTATCAAAGTTTTCTGAAAGCTTTCCATTCATTCCACTCATACCAAAGATTGGCTCTTGGAATAAAACATTGTTTAACTAAATTCCATTTTCATTACATATGAAACTGTGTGTGTGTGCATGTGTGTGTGTGTGTGTGTGTCTGACAAGCAATTGCATTCCTGACCCTGGCTTTTGCCGTAAGATGGAGTGGAATGTGTGAGGACCCACACACACACACACTAAAGCTTCAGCAGGTGAAGAATCTGGAAATCCAGCGTCTATGTAGTTCATGACTGACATCTCAATGAAGATGGAGGGGGAAGGGGTCCAGGGTCAGACGAGCTTGAACCAAAAGACTTGATTTAGAAAGACATTTTAATGTGGATAGTTATCAAGCGACCGTTTGATATGAAGGGAAATGGAAAAGCAAATGAGAGACATTTGTTATGTTTGTGGTAAAAATAGGCAGAGAAAGAAGGAACTATGGGAGTTGAAGTCCCCTGAGATCATGCTTTGCCAAAGCGAATGAGTCACGGCGCAACCACATCTACCAGTAATGTGTGTGGGAAACCTCTAAAGAGCATACAGATGCGGAGTTGTACCTTTTCTGTAAGAAGGAGGACACATGGATACCCACACATACCTCGAGCACCGGCGGCCCATGCCAAGCTGGGATTCCTGCCAAAACCAAAAACCTTTGCTCTCCTTCCCATCCATCCAAGCATGAGAATAATAAGTAGAACTTCTATCGTGTACAAACACTGCACACTTGCTTGCTGGTCAGGCTCTTGACTTGAAGGGACTTTTAAGGAATAGTTCGGAAATGAAAACTCTGTCATCGTTTACTCACCCTCCAAACCCAACTTTTATTTCATCTGTGGAACACAAGATGCAAATTACAAGCAGAATGTACTTTATATTATTAGACAATATTAAAGGGGTAGTTCATCCAAAAATAAGCATTCTGTCATCATTTACTCACCCTCAAGTGGTTCCAAACCTTTATAAATTTCTTTCCTCTGTTGAACACAAAAGAAGACACTTTAAAGAAAGTAGGAAACATGTACCCACTTTAAAAAGTGATTATTTGGTTTACTTAAAAAAGTGAGTAAACCATTTGCACTAAAAGTGAGAAATTGACTTTACATAAAAAGTGAGTAAACCCCTTATAACTTGGAAATAGCGCTGCACGATATTCGAAAAAGCTGATGTTACGGTCTCTACTTAAAGGGTCACGAAACAGCAAAACACATTTTTTGGAGATGTTAACAGTCATCTTTATGTCACATGCTGCTAAAAACACTATTAGGTCACATGTTTCACAAAAAAGTGAAAATTGGTTGAAAATTGTTATTCCGGGCAAATTCATTCTTCCACTTTGAAAAGAAATTTTGAAGCTGCGTCACGGCCATGAGATCTTTGTGTAAATTCCAGCGTGGAGAGTGGATGTCTGTAACGTCCGGTACAATGTGAAGTCTTTGAGTTCCCCTTCGGGGGGAACTTCAGCACTATAAGTGGATTTGATTGTAAAATCCACGCATTGGGAGGATTCGGATCAGAAGCCGCTTGTCTGGAGAGTATTGAACGGGCCAATGAATGAAATTAATTGGCAGCGTAAGCTTGCGCAGGTGTGCGACATCTGCAATTATCTCAGCATATAAGCACACCTGAAGCCAGCAGACGCCATCCTTTTCGTTTCAGAATCTTTCTGAGTGAGTCGATGAGGGTTCCTCTTGCTGATCAGCACTTCAGAGCGAACGAGTGTGTCTCCCGGTCCAGAGTGGGTCTTCGCGGTGGCAGACGGTCAAGCTGGGTTACTCCCTTGCCTGCGGTTCTTTGGGTCCGGTCCTCCAGAGCGGTGCGTATAGTTGCAAACTTTCCTAAAAGAGCAACACAGTCGTGCAGCACGTCCTTTTCAGGATGGCGCTCCGACTGTGCGTTTCTGGATGCGGGGGTTTCCTGGCTCCGGATGATGGACACGATCACTGCATTGCATGTTTGGGGGTCCAGCATGTTAATGCGGTGCTCGCGGGCGGTTCATGTCGTCATTGCGATGCCATGACCGTTGCACAGCTAAGATCGCGGCTAACTTTCGCAAGAGAGCGAGCCACCCCAGTTGCCTCCTGTTCTAAAAAAGCAGCGGGCGCTCGGGCAGATCTGAGGGTTTCAGCGGGAGATAATCCGCTGCCCACGGGCTCGCGGACCTCTCGCTCCTCACGGCGCTCCATCCAAGCTTCGGGTAGTGAGAGTGATCCGTCTAACCAGATGGTAGCTCTCACACTCGCTGACACCGGAGATCAGATGTCCTCCGCGGCATCGGAGGGTGGGCTTTCACTGTCCGACGAAGATCCGGACCCGCTCGCCCCCTCCGGGCAGGTGAGCGCTGTCAAATCGGATCCTGAAGCGGACATGTTAGCCGTGCTTTCCCGGGCTGCTTCGGCCGTGGGGTTGGAGATGGTTTATCCCCCAGCTCCGCGGCCGGACCGACTAGATGGGTGCTACATAGAGGACCAGAAGGCGAAGCCTTCGAAGCCTCTCGTCCCCTTCTTCCCGGAAGTGCACAGTAGGCTCACGCAGTCTTGGAGGGCACCTTTCTCTGCCCGTGCTGCGTGTGCCTCCGCCCTCACCGCCCTTGACGGCGGAGCTGCCAGGGGGTATGAGGCGATCCCGTCAGTGGAGCGCGCTATCGCGGTCAATCTTTGTCCGCGCGGCGCCTCTACGTGGCGGGGTTTGCCCCGCCTCCCGTCCAAAGCCTGTAGGTTGTCTGCCTCCCTCGGAGCCAGAGCTTATAAGGCTGCGGGCCAGGCTGCTTCTGCTTTGCACGCGATGGCCACCTACCAGCGCTACCAAGCGCAGGCGCTGGCCGAGCTGCACGAGGGCGGGTCCAACCCAAGCTTATTACATGAGATGCGCACCGCGACCGACTATGCTCTTCGGACTACTACCGCCGCGTGTGCGCTGGGGAGGACGATGTCCACACTTGTGGTTCAGGAACGCCACCTCTGGCTAAACCTGGCCGATATGCGCGACGTTGACAAAGTTCGCTTTCTTGACTCCCAGGCTGGCCTGTTCGGCGACACCGTCGGTGAATTCACCCAGGAATTCAAGGCGGTGAAAGAGCAGTCGGATGCGATGGGCAATGTCATCTATCGGCGTGGCCGTAAGCCCGCTCCGCCCTCCGAGCCATCCACCTCCGCTGTTCCTCGCCGAGGGCGCCCGCCAACGAGTGCTGCCCCGCCCCCGCCTGCGCCTCCGGCCAAGCGGGTGCGGCGTTCACCTCGAAAGCAGGCAGCCCTCCTGCCCAGGGCGCCGTTAAGTCCGGTAAATGGACCGCGAAGCGTCCCTGAGACAGGCCATCCGGAGAAGAGGAAACTTGCTCCTTCCCCGCTGGAGGGCGGGGCCCCGATAACAACGGTACTTTTCAGTGCCACCAAAACATCAGTAAAAGAGCACTTTTTCCCTTCCCCGGATGTGACTGCACGAGTTCTGCCAGTCCGGGACGCGCTGCCTTCCGGCTCGCAGACTCTACGTGCTTCGCCAGTGGCTCACGAGCGCTGGGGGGACGGTCTCCCTTCCCTCAGCCCTCCAGCCCCCTCTCCGGAGTCAGGGTGCGGAGCCAGAGCGAATCGCTCTCCTCCAGCTTTTCCGCGGGACCCTCGTGCTTCCCGGATCAGCACACCCACTCCGCGCTGCCCCACCGCTGGTACGTCAGCGATTGTAGCGATGACTCCATTAGCGAGGGCTCTGCCTGCCTGGTTAGCGCGGGCCAGCCCCTCGCGGTGGCTCATACGCACAATCAGACTCGGTTACGCGATTCAGTTCGCGAAACGGCCCCCCAAGTTTACGGGCGTGTATTTCTCCAGGGTCAACCCCCTGTCCGCCCCTGTCTTGCGAGAGGAGATTGCTGCCCTCCTGGCGAAGGGTGCAATCGAGCCGGTTCCTCCAGCCGAGATGGAGAGTGGGTTTTACAGCCCATACTTCATCGTACCCAAAAAGAGCGGTGGGTCACGGCCAATCCTAGATCTGCGCGTTTTGAACCGCTGTCTGCACAGGCTGCCGTTCAGAATGCTCACGCAGAGGCGCATTCTCCAATGCGTTCGTCCTCGGGATTGGTTTGCAGCCATAGACCTGAAGGACGCGTATTTCCAAAGTGTCTCCATTCTTCCACGCCACCGCCAATTTCTGCGGTTTGCGTTCGAGGGTCGAGCGTGGCAGTACAAGGTCCT